GCGTTTCTCAAAAGTTCCCCCCCCCCCCCCCCCCCCCATTGAGGTGGTGGGGTATAAAGCTGGCATATTCTCCATCCTTAGATGAAAAAGCAGTAGAGAGCAACCAACTTTTTGGCCATGGATTTAAGCCTTCTTAAAAAAGGTCCTTACCTCCTGCAGGTATAAAGTAATGAGGAAAATATTCCATTCTTATAAAATTGTGTTTATTAACATTGGTGACCCTACAGTGGTCCCATTAACCCTTCCACCACTAAGCACTTTTAGTGCCAAAATGCTTATTTTAGGCCTGAGATTACTTTAAACCAACCCCCCAGAATTAAGTAAGTGTTGAATGCAGAGACCCTGTAGAATAAAATGATGGTGGTTGCATTGTTTTATGTTGCATGATATTAGCACAACTATTTATCAAACCCAAATTTTCAGTGGGAAAAAAAAAAAAAAATCTCAAGTGAAGATAAAACACAATGTATTATCCAATTTTGGGGGGTAAAAATATAAAAGATGAGGTTGTACCAAGCTTTAAAATTGCGTGTGCCAGTTAAAAAATTATAGTACCCAAAATGGTCCATAAGCGACACTTTAAAAGCTTTCACAGTTCCATTAACCATTTCCCTCACTCTGGCATTTGCGGCGATACCCAATATATGTGGCAGTATTGTTTTTGTGCTATGCATACTCAACCCAGAAAAATAAAAAATGGGTGTTATATCGATTCTATTTAACCTAACCATTTTTTTAAACTTTTTTTTTTGAACCCAACTTTATTGCTAAGCTATGTAATAGCACTTTAGTTGTGACAGGATCTCTTTGAGACATTAGGGGGTCTATTAGACCCCTAATGTCACCTTTGCACTTCAGCACTTCATGACCAAGCACAGATCTTGTGCTGTGGCCAGGGAATTACGGCTCACAAATGATGGCTCATTGTTGCTTCCAGGTTATTCGGAGATAGAGGATCTCCGCGAGTAAAGCCAACAGTTTTACACATGTCTGCTTACAGGGCCTGCTGCTACATGCTGGCAGCAAAAGGGTTAAAGTGAACCATTGCTTTTGATCTTAAAAAGGGGGGGGGGACGTCTTGCTAGATACAGTTACCTAACAATTAAACACCAACAAACCCAAAAAAAAAAAAAAAAAAAAAAAAAAAAAAACTTACCTGAAGCTAAAGGTAGAGTTTGTATAATAAGGAGGATTGTCAAACTCTGCAAGGGAAAGACATTTCTGTAAATCCTCCGTACTTGGCAGTCGTCCACCAGATGTGTCTATTGGGCTCCGGCGAATAAGGCCTTCATCGGTTCCATTGCACAGGGTAACAAGACGATTGTACTCATCCAGACTAGGATTTTAAATAGAAAAATTGAGTTTCTTCTACATACAAAAATGGGAAGAATTCCAACTCATAGAACATGCTCACACATTGCTTTCTTGTATGGATTACAAGAACTTTAAAGTGGACCAGTCCAAAACACTTAGTTTTGCATACCGTGGAGAAGGATTTAAAGGTCTCTGGTTATTATTGCTGTCAGGGGTGTCCTTGGGACAGGTAGTGACCAGTAGAGGTGCATTTGGATGAACTTGCTGAATCATAAAATTCAGTTGATTTGGCCGTTCATCTAAATAGGAAACGAATAATCCCATGCCGAATATACAAAAAAATTAAAATAACTTTATTTGGGCATATAGCAATTCATTTTGTATGGGCACCTCCATCTTGCTGTGTCCAATATGGTGGCACCCATACATGCATATGTCATCCGATGCCATGAGGCATCATACACCCTGTCTCAAAGATGGTGGCGTGCATGCACTGGTAGCCAATATGGCTGCCGCAAGTTCTGTTATTTTAATGTGCGCTTTCGGATGTGGAGGTTCGCTGCCTCTGAAACCAAAGACAGCACAATTTGTTTCCTCAAAACAAGTCAAAAAGGTGTTTCCCCTTTTCAATTAGCTTTGTCTGAAAAAAAATGATGCCGTGCACATGTCTAGTGACCAGAACTTCTAAAAAAGGACAAAGACAGCAATGAAAGTACCCTGTTTCTTAGCTAAGAGGGCAAGTACCCTTGGAGAGAATCTACCCTTTTTTTAAACTTAGATAGGGTTTCATTTTAACTTTTGCCCATTAGCTTTATAAAAGTAACGTAAGGGGATGAACCCAACAAATGTGTGATCACCTTCCAAGCTTTACCGTTTCATAGGCCAACAATACTTGCACAGGGCTGAATTTCTATCAAAAGAATATTACATAATAAAAAAGAGTGCAGCCCGCAGTACAACTATATTTGGACTCAGATAATACCCCAGTCAAAGCCAAAACAGCTGTAGCCCTCTTGTGGAGCAGGCCCTTTTAAGACTAATATTGTAGCTGATCGGGGCTTTGGTTAACAGACTAAGGTGCCCATACACCTTACAATTTATCTGCAGATTTTATGTGGTCAGATGGAAAAAGTGCAACAGATTGGCCCAGGTGGAGATTACTCCATCCACACAGTTAAGTGTAGATGGAGGAATCTGTTGCACCTTTTCCATCTGACCGCAGAAAAATTATTGTATGGGCACCTTTATGGGGAATGAGTCCTCTGCTCAGGAAGATACCTGCAGGACTACACTTCCCAGAGTGCTGTGGGAGGAGAGTGTACTCTGGCTGGAGGAGAACTTTCTCCATTCATTCCCTGCACGGAGAAGATGTGTGAAGCCAAGTCCAGAGCTGTTGTGTGCAGTAAGTTGCCGAAGCTGTATCCAGTGTCTCTGTCTACATGTCTGCTGGAACGAAGGGATCGACTGACCGCCATAGCCTCCCGGGTGATTGAGTGAGCTGAACCGGGTAAAGCTCCATACCGCAGTGTGGTGATCGTGGACGGTGAATTGGCATGGACGAGCGGATGCCCGGATCCACTGCCAATTTCAAAGCATGGTGACTCTTCCCCTGGGTGAACCATTTCCTCTCTTAAGGATATCTACTGACCGTACTGAACACCCCAGATGAACATTTCCCCTGCCCCCAACCCAGATGGGCGAGAGGCCTCTGGCCTATGCTTACCGATAAACCTCAAACACCGAGTCTGTTACCAAATACATTGGGCCCCAACGTTGGCTAGCCAAAAGATTATACCACTGGCCAGTTGGTTAGGTACCCAAGTACATTGGGACTGAGACAGGGTTTTACTCTAACTTTTATCCTATGTGGGGGGACTGTTGTCAGTACATCCATTGCTGCTATATAATCACTGTTCTAATTGAATCCACTATATATTTAGAGATTGTTTGATGACCGTATTAATGTAGACACGAATACACTCATTAATTTCAAGTAAACTGTGCTGTAGATCCATCATAGAGGGAGACCTGTTCAATTACTGTAGACCACCCTTTGAAGCCAGAGGGGGGTTAGACCAGTTGTAATGATCACTGACTACTATTTTTTTCCAGCAAGCCCATGGCCATCTGTGTGATTTAAAACTACATACCGTATATACTCGAGTATAAGCCGAGATTTTCAGCCCATTTTTTTGGGTGAAAAGTGCCCCCCTCGGCTTATATTCGGGACGGCTTATACTCGAGTATATACGGTATATGACACCCAAAAGTCTAAGGACTTTCTGGAACTCTTAAGGCTTTCTAAAAATCTCTCCCATTCAACTCCATTGAAATGCGACAGATAAGAAAGTCTCAATAGGATTTTCCACAGCCAGTGCAGATACCTAGACACTCTCAAAGTTTCACAGGATTTGAAAAGAGGACGGTAAGCATCTACTACAAAAATGATTGTAGGCAACTACACATAGTACAGTTGCTTAATAAATGTATTACAGTTTGTTGAAGCACTGGTTTGTTTATACCCAGAAATACACATTATGGCTAGTTTTCCAATCAAGAGCAATATACTCCACTCCATTTCCCACATGTTGTAAACAATTGTCAAAATATTTATTTTAGCCTTGAAAATTCTATCAAGCAGGAAGTATACTTGTGTCAAAGAGGATGAGTTACCTGTCACAAACTATCTCCCAGCGTGAAAACCTGGAACCAAGACTGATTAAAGTGGGATCATCTGGTCTGGGGGCACCAAACAGTTCATCTGTACAGACATCACATTCATTCCTGCCAGTTGCAAAATTCCAGTATGGCAAAGCAAAGGAGTCATTGCCAAGCATTCTCTGAAAGTAGAAAAAAAAGCAATAATTGGAAAAAGCAAACTTAGTGATATTAAAGTCAAAAGGATTTGAAGCTTTTTCAAATTCTGATGAAACCACTTACAATGGATGCTGCTCCACAGACACACATTACTGTGACTGGTACCAAGAGAGCAGGTTCCCCATATTGCAGCTGTAATTTTTTCATTAAAGTGGATATGGGAAAAGTTTGCACTAGACCCCTTTGCGGCCCATGCCATTGCCACATTACCTGTAAATCTCTCTCAAGCCGCAACAAGTGGTATCGATGCCAAGTAACAAATGCAGGACCCTTATGTGACAAATCAATAGCTTTGAATGGACGTCCTGGCCCTGGAATAGAAAAAAACAAATGACCAAAGTAAATTTAGTTTCTGCTCCAAGAGACAGTTATACTCATTGTGTTCATTGCTGCACCAAAGAGCTCGGTACAAGGATTAATGGACACGAGGCAGCATTTTCCGAAGGACAATCAATTGATTAATTGGATGTCAACAAAGTCATTTAATAGAACCTATTATGATTAGCCTAGTGAGGCAGAGTAATGATGCTGTTAAAAAGGTACAGTTTTAGGTCTACTGCATTTTAATAGTCTGAATAACTGAAGAGAAAAAAAAAAAGATATCGATATTGGGAAATTACTTTTTGCAGAAATAAAAATCTAGTAATTCTTTCCAATACAGAAAGGATCATTTAAAATTACGTTCCACAGGATACCGGTATATTCAACAGCTAAAGCAACATAAAAAGCAACCCATTTTGATCTTTCAGCATGAAGGGTTGTTACCAGTATACTTGAAATGCCATTAAGGTTTATTCTCTGTATCCAAACACAAGGACACCACTTAAATGTATAGGACCTTGGCATGATTAATGTGTTCCCAATATATTTGTAGCATGATAGTCATTGATCACATTAGATGAGCATCTGGTGAATGCAGTCCATGCTGTTTACTGCATATGTTCCAAAAGACACACACACACACCTGTAGGAGAGTCAAGAAAAGTTAATTCGAGTCAAATCTTAGTCAAAACAATGTCTTTGCCGATACTAGTAAATTAAAAAATAAATATTAATGTAATTTTATTGGTATCTATCTACCATTAGCTGTCTCATTTCCCACCTCGGCTTATATTCGGGACGGCTTATACTCGAGTATATACGGTATTTTGGCTTGGTCCAAATCATTTAACCCCTTTTTAGACCTGAAAAATTACTTAAAACCCCCAAGCATTATATTTTCTGAAAGCCAAGACCCTATACAATAAAATGGTGGCAGTTGCAAATTTTTATGTTGCACGCTATTAGCGCAACTCATCAAACCCCAACATTTAGTGGAAAATGCACTCAAATGCCCCAAAACACAATACCCATTTTAATAAAATATAAAAGATGGTTACAAGAAAATAGATACCCAACATGCCCAGGTTAAACATTGTGTGCATCTGTGAAAATTCAGTACCCCAAAAAGTCCATATACAAAGCTTTAAAAGCCCCTACAGGTCATCAGTTTAGAGATACGTGTAAATATTGGCCTTAGCATTTTTGCTCTCACTCCGGCGTGCGTGGCTATACAACTTGTGTAGCGCGATCATTGTTTTCATACGTAGGCTGACCCAACGCGTGTTTACGTGAAGATGTGCATTCTCGCAGGGGGCCTTTCAAAACTTTCACATTTATTTAAACAAAAATATGTTTTTTTTATAATTCAAATGCACTTCTCATTGCCATCACCTGGGGGAGGGCTTACAAGTCCCCCATGTGATAGCATATTGGCAGTGACAGGTACTCTAAAAGGTGATACTGGGGGGTCCAAAAGACTCCTAGTGTCGCCTTTACATTTGAAATAAGCTATTGAAGTGCAGGTCGCACTTCAATAGCTTATTTCTCGACTTCAGGAGCCCAGCAATGACAGCTATGGGACCGGAAGTGATGTAATCTGCATCGCTCCCAGTCTCATAGTACGGGGAGATCGGTGTCCCAGCCCACCTGCCGGACACCAGAGAAGCTGGTCCCAGGCCCGTAGGAGGGGCAGCAGAGCCTGGGAAGTGGGGGTGTTGAGCACCTGGGGAGGGAGAGGGGCAGGCCCATTTACCAGCCCGTAGAAGCGATCTGGCGGCAGCTGATGGGGGTTAAAATGTTTTGGGGCATGAAGGGGTTAAAATGTTTTGGACAAAGTCTGAACATTTTCTGACTATTTTCACAAACACTCATCACTAAGCAAGTTCAACTCAATTGTGCTAAACATTCCTTTTATGTTCACTATGGACTTGTTAGGGTCACCATACTAATTACAATCCATATGTACAATCTCCTTTGCAATTACCAAAACTATGTAATACGGAGGACATATCTAACTATTCAAGCATGCCCTCATACTACATAGCTGTTGGGAATCTAAAGGAGAATGTACAGTCAGATTGTAGCATGTATGGTAAGCTTCAGGGCTTGTTCACACCATATACAGTGCGTTCCAGCGCACTTAGCTGCTGGAACGCGCTGTATCGCATCCTGCATTCTGGGGCGGGAGGGGGTGTGGTGGTGCATTGAAGTAAATGGCACCGCAGCCACGCCCGCAGTGCGATCGCCCACACCCGAACGCGTGGCACATCAATGCCTGCATTCTGGTCCAGTGCAGTCTGAAAAAAAAATGGTGCAAAGTACTTTTTTCTGATCGCATTGGACCAGAATGCATTCTGGTGCTGGAGGGGGCGTGGCTGTGGTGTCATTGACTTCAATGCACCGCCATGCTCCAGAACACAGGGAGCTGGCCAGGATGTGATGTGTTCCAGCAGTGAATCATGCTAGAACGCACTGTATATGATGTGAACAAGCCTTATGGCCATTACAATCATAACTTGGTAAAGTCACATTTCAGAAAGGGCTACATCCAGTGGATTTCGGTGATAACAGTTTATCATTAAAAATATGCCTGTGGTGGATTTGCAGAGGAAACTGTGGGGAGGTGGAATTTATATTATTTTAAATGAGAAAATACTTGCATCACTATGTTTAGGTAGGGTGTGATGCAAAGTGCAGGACTTCCAGATTCAGATCACAGTAATGGGAAGATGCAAGTCAACAATATTTCCAGAAACCTTTAATCTAATAGCTCGCCACAAAAACAGATCTGCCGTTTCAAATGTTAAATTGAAATTTAAAAGAAAATAATATACCCAGCAAAGTGTCTCTGACGGAATAGTAATGAAGCCAGACAAAGAAGTTATAGATGCTGGTGTTCGATACTTGTGGTTGGGTTCCATTAGGCCCCAGAATAGCAAGCCAATGCTGAGTAGCAATTACATAATCGGGATGAATGGTGTTCTTTGAACGATCCAGCGCATCCAGGAACTGAGCTCTCTCCTGTGGAGTTAAGGAATGTATATTTTTACGGACAACTGGTGGCTTCCTCTGGTCACAGTTCGGTCCTGTCCATCCAAACTTACATTCTCCACAATTATAACCTGCAAAGTTTCCTGGGGAAAGAGATATATAAAGTTTAGTATAAAACTGCACATGTGACAGCATGCTGGGTCTACGATATGTAATTGTATCAGTATTGGATTCAAAACATGTACAGAAATAATGCATAGCAAAGCACAACCAGGGTTCCATCACATACCCAAATACTCCACCGCTTCCCCTGACCAGCCAAGGGGGTTTCGCCCTCCCGGTACCGGCCCGCACTGGGCACTGAAGGGGGAAAGGAAGCCAGCCTCATCTCCTGCAGCGCTAGGAGAATCCCTGGGGCTCCACAAGGTAGGCAAACCTACCCCTCTGCCCTACACAGGCAGGCCATACAAGGAAGACTTCCCGGGCAGCATCACCACATGGAAGCCCTCTCTCAGCGTTCTGTGACGCGCTCCCCAGCTTGACTGAGGAAACACAAAAGACTGAGGGAGTGGAGGAGAGGAGGGTCTTTTAAACAGATTAAGTGACGTGTTTCCTGTGTGTGGGGGAGGAGATTTCATCTCGTGATGCTGTCCTGGAAGACGTTATGGGAAATGTCATGTACTGCGTGTATATTCTAGGTCAGGGGTGCCCATTAGGTAGATCGTGATCTACCAGTAGCTCTCAAAGCTGATGCTGGTAGATCACGAAGGGTGTGAATGGTGGCCCCTTTATTCCATTTTGGTATATTTATTTCGCTGTGCACACATGATTACCCATTAGCCTGAGTCTGCCGAGCCAAGCTCCCTGACACCTTTCTTGTGGTTAAAGTGCTATGTACCGTGTTTCCCCGAAAGTAAGACCCACCCCGAAAGTAAGACCTACCCCGAAAGTAAGACCTACCCCGAAAGTAAGACCTAGCGCTATCTTCAGGGATTTCTGTAATATAAGACCTACCCCGACAATAAGACCTAGTTCAGGGTAGGTCTTATATTACCAAAATCCCTGAAGATAGCGCTAGGTCTTATTTTCGGGGTAGCTACACATAACTGAATTTTAAATGTAAAGACAGGCCGCAGCTCCCGCCCACACGCCAGGCCGCCCGATGGAAGCGGCATATCATCCGCCAACTTCAACTCCTACGGCTGTGTCTGCGGAAAGCTTGTGTAATGACACCAGACATTTTGCCTTACTATAATTTTTGCCACCCAAGGCACCAGCTGCAACCTGCACCTGACTTATCAGTTTGGAGCAGTGAGAGGACTAGGAGAAGATTGGCACTTTGCACACATTCTATTTAGCCATAGCAATGAATGCATCAATGCCTTGTTGCTATCTGAGCAAACCCGCACAGAAATAAGAATTTATCTAGTGAAATGTTCTGTAATGATCAATCTGCCTTCCTAATGTAAAATCTATTTTAACAAACTGGACAGGGCAGTCTTTATAGATTTAACTCTGTAAAACATTACACAAAAAAAAAAAAAAAATCTTGTAAACTCTTCCTTATAGCGATTCAGTTTTAGGCACATAGATTTTAACCTTATTCAACATAAAATGATAGCATTATGTTTTCATTGTATTTGGTTCATGAAGTTACCCTGGAAAATGAAAAATTGGTCAGGGGCCTTTTCTAGAGAAAGAAAAAAAAAAGAGATTCGTAATCATATGCATTAAATGGTATTAGCACACAGTCTCAGATTTATAGGCATAGCAAGCTAATAAAACATTCAAAACCCGTAAGTATAGATTATAAAAATGTCACTTTTCAAAAAGGACCTGGACAGGGTAGACATGCAGCAGAATAACCATTGGTATATACAGTCAGGGCTGGATTTGCCACAAGGCCTGGCCTCGGGGAGGCACGCAGTAGAGGGGAGACAGGGATGGGGAATTCCTATCTTCAACACCCCGGGACATGCAGTTCTTTTCCTACATTTAGCCCTGCTTTGGGCAAGCAGAGCTAAAATGTAGAGCGGGGAAGCCGCCACTCGCTTTGTACAAGTGATCTCGGCGAGGTCACCGAGATCACTTGTATGCAGCCTGCAGGTCTGCCCCCCCTCCTTTCGCCAGCTACCTCTCTCTGGAGATGGAGATCGCTTGAGAATGGAGAGCAGGGAGCAGAGCATGCCTATTTACTGCTCTGCTCCATGTGAACACTGAGATGGGAGAAATGCATTTGCTCAGCTGTCACAAGAGTTCCAGCACAGTGCTGTGCTCAAACTCCTCTATTGGAGGTGACAGGTTCAAAAAAAGGGAACCTGTCACCTCCAAATGCTATCACACAGGGGCTTGTTAGTTCCTGTGATATCAATTTTTATTTTATTTTGTTTTTCACCTTTCACTTAACTTTATTGCCAAGATAAAGTGAAAAAAAGGATTATGATTATTATGAGAAAATTAACCCTGCCCCCCTCCCGCCCCATCTGGTGTCCATTCTCCACTAGGGGGAGGCACAAAGGAACCTGCTCTTGTGTAAATCTGGCCCTACATACAGTATATCGATATCTGCAGATAGCACAAGCAATACTTCTTGTAATGCTAATATTCCCACACATAAATACAAGACTTGGAAAGGGTCTCTTGGTCATGCAATACTGGTACTAGGGATGAGTTTGGGTTTGGTGCTAGCATGGGTTTTATGCATGTTCAAAGGTTCACAGTCCTGGTGAATTGATTGTTAATTTCGCTGGGCTAAGTGCTTTTTAACCATAATGCAATGCATGGTCTTTGAATTTAGGTCAGCTGGCTTACAAAGGCCAACAGTATTCAGGTTATGTGCCACTTCCATCACTTCTAAGAGGGTGGGTTCCCAGCAGCCATTTGTCAATGTGTGTTGTGTGTTGGAGTAGTTCAGGGTGAACCAGTCTGTTTAAGGAGTGTTAGTTGCTACACTGTTTTACATTTCTGTGGACTGCCATCTGGTAGACTACATATTCTGGTGCATACCCCCTGCCCACCCCATGTCAGAAACCCAACAGACCTTCAGACTACCCTTTTGTGTATGCCAGCAACAAATGTAGTTGCCGTTTAGCCACTCCCCCTTGTTTTATTTTCTATTTCACAATTATATTAGCCAGCACACTATATATGTATATATATAAAAAAAGCGCTCCATACTACTGTAGTAATATGACAAAGATTTATTAGGCACTCAAAATGTCTTCCACAGGAGAACATTCAAAAAAATGGTAGGTTTATAACACAGGTGACCAAAAACGAAATCACAAGATAGATGTATTTAGTGGTTTTAAAATGTCATATCAGCGATTGTAGCTTACATATTTCTCTCATGACAGGTTGTTTAATAGTGGATCCAAGGAAAGGGCCAAAATCAGACACTGAACCAACCAGACTACTACGGAAGCCAAAAGCTCAGGGGTTAACGTTGCCAGCCTTTTCCTTTAAGATAGGTTTACGCTGGCCACGCACGCAGCAGGTTTCTAGAAATTTCAACTTTTTAAACCAACTAACTTTTAAAGTACAGATCTGACTGACCAATGGACCTACCACCAACACTTGTGTTTCATGGTTTTAACTGAAACGGTTGGCAGTAGGTTGCCATTGAATTGTTATGGCTATCGAAAGCTTGTTGGCATGGTAGAAAGTTGTCAAGTGTATGGCTTTGACAGCCAAAGTGTATGGCTTTGTGACCACATAGGATAAGGATGATTAGAAGATATTTCCCTTGCAACTCAGTGCTGGCCACTGAACTGGACTGATGTGCCACACCTATTTGCCAGCAGCCTTACCAAAAACCGTGCACACAGTAGCACCTCTTTTAAAAAGGGATAGGTAGAAAAGTCAAATCAGGAAGCCCAAAATGCAGCTAAGATATGTAGTCAGCAACAAAGGAATACAAGAATATGGTAAAACGCATAAACATGTGTAGTTCAGGAAGTTATACAACAATACTTTGAATGGAAATAAATGTATATGTGTAGATTGACACAGGTGAGGTTGTCTAAAGTGGAGGAATAGGGGTCCTACACAAATTTTGTCATGGGGTTAAATTTTTCATAGATTTGCCTCTTGTCTTTATCCAAGCTTTGCAAGTCATAAAATGTGTGTAATATATTTTACTGTCAGCAAAATGCCTGTGGAGTTTGTCGCCATCAAATATCCATGCAATACTGATTAGGAACCAGTGAACTGAATGAATACAAGTTCCAGATAAATGCCATGTCTTGAGGCTGCTTCACAAAAAAACGGCTCGTTAGGTTCACCATTAGGAGCAACTTTTCAAAAATGTAACCATGAGCATTCAGCTCCAGAGTGAGCCTTCGTGGCCTACTGTTGTGGAGATGGTCCAGGGAACATCTCTTTAATGAAGCATCTGTTGAGAACAGTTTGTGTAAACACATTGTGCCATCTATCTAAGATTGCAGAGTTGGGCTCAAGCAGCATGGCAAATTTAATAGTTGTGTGTCAAAATTAATTTAGCCGCTCCTAGTAACACAGGGTTACAACTAAATCACTGTCACCCGATAACTAATTAAAAGAAAAACAAAATCATTCCTGTTTAACTGACTGGAAAATGTATTTTACATGGGAATTGATGCTGTGCAATCACACTGAGCACAAGGCATCTCATTGATGTGTAAGTGCATATCTACCAAAACAAAGTCTACTTGGACACTGGTTTACACACACACACACACACACTATATGTGAGGGGGAGGGATTGTGCTTGGCAGTGTTCCTACATTCGAATGCCCAAGTCAAAACTTTGCAGCTACAGATCCCTTCCAGCACGCAGAAAAGAGAATGTCTGCTTTTCAATCACAAATACCATTCTAAGTGGAATCTTCCGTAGCTTTTGTCACTGTCTGTTCCTCCGTTCAGGATGCGCTCTCAAAAAAACACAAGAGCAAGATATTAGAACACTAATACAAATAGGGATTCAAAGTAAGCTTCAGATAGCAGAAAAATGGCCAAGATCATAGGTTCAGTGTTGGAGAACTATGAGGTGAGGGAAAAGCACTCACCTCATAGTTCTCCTTTAAAGTGCAGCTGTGCCCTCACTATGGACAATTAAAGCAGAACTGAAGCCAATGTTTTACATTTTGGGTAAAGTAATCGAGGGTTAGAACACGTCAGATTTTTAGTGCCATTTTTATCAAATGGGGAGATTTCCCTTCATTTCCTGTCCCATTGCCACAACAGAAGTGGAGAAACACCTCCTGGTGGTCAGCAAGGTCACCAGAACTAGTGTCCCCATCTATTCCCGTTTTGAACACAACCCAAATTTTGGGATTTTCTTTGACTGAGAACAGTCACCACTCTGACAGTCCAAGGATCTGCAAGTCTTCACTTCCTATACAGTGTATAAGATGCAAGGACGCCGAGGGACACTCCACCGGCATATCTGTCCAGGCCATTTTAGAATATCTTTGTAAAATACGCAACAATGTATCTATGCACACTTTCTTTGCTTTACTCTACAACATGGTTTCTTTACTCTACAATTGCTTTTAACGTAATCACTTTTACACACACACACACACACACACACACACACACACACGTCAAAAACACATCTGAAAAGGACAGAACACTATGTTCAGTATTATAAGGTTGCTCGTGCTGAACATTGGATGTATGGTAATGTGGCTTAGTGGTTAATGCTTCTGCCTTGCAGCAATGAGTCCCCGGTTCATATCCTGGTCAGGTCACTATCCGCAAGGAGTTTGCATGCACTCCACGTGCTTGTGTGGGTTTCCTCTGGGTACTTTGCTTTCCTCCCACACTACAAAGACATGCTGGAAGGGTAATAGCCTTCTGTATGCATGCATTGGAGATAAGGACCATAGATTGTAAGCTCCTTGAGGGTAGGGACTGATGTGAATGTGCACTATGTAAAAGCGCTGCGTAAATTGTCAATGCTATATAAATACCTATAATAAGTAAATATACTCGTCTGTAGTGACTGAACCTTTTATGGAATTTTAGGAAAACCGTAATCATGTCTGGCATAGTATATTATATAGTGAAGATAGGTCACCAGCAATCCCAAGTGCTGAGGTTCTGCACGGCGTCAGCCGTGGTGGTCACGTCATGCATCTATCTACATTGGTCACAACATTGTATGGTGTGCAGCAGGCACTTTCAACAATGTAGTATATTGACACCAAAGTCCTGTGGCACAATATTTCCCTTTTTTTGAATAAAATCATGGTCAGTCGACAGTCCCTAGGATCAATGCTGGCTCTAGGAATTCTACAAAATTCACCAAGCCCTGGTAAAGAAGATGATCACAATATTCAGTGTGTGATTTGGGAAATGCTTACTCCTGGCATGTTCATGCATTTCAGTTTTGGCAGCTATGAAATAAAATAGGTTGGTATATTTGAGCGAGTTCCTACTTAAACAAGAACCCTGGGCAAAACTTTTAACCCTTTCAGTGGTGCTTCCCCCACACTGCAAGGCTTAACTGCTTGTTTTTGGTCTAGGAAGGAAAATAAAGATATACTACCCAACCCTTGGAGCCTGCCGGCAGTGACAGCGCTCCCTCTAGCGATGTTATGTCCCTTAGTGTCCTGAGCCTATACACACTGTATAGAATGTGATCACTCAGGGACCTTAGACCATTGCAGCAGTGGGTGAGCAAGGCTGGGGGGGAGCGGTCAAAGAGCAAGCTGGCTTTGAGGATCAGGCGAGTATAACTTTTTTTTATCTTCCTTCCTAGACCAATACAAGCAGTTAGCCCTTGCAGTGTGAGGGTAGCCCCACTGCCTGAAAGCAGTGTCCCTAGAAAAAGCTATATTGCAATAACAAACTAGATTTTTATAGCATCTTTTATAGAACAAAAATACACTTACAACAATAATAGAAAGTCACACTGCGATGTTATCTGGCAGATTCCTCTATTCTGCTGACTGTCCCATTTGTACGGTGCATAACTTTTCTGAAATGTCTTCCTACACAAAACTTTTATACAGGATTTATAAAGTGCCCATCAGTTTGCACAGCGCTTTACAAATGGGGGGAGACAGTACAGTTACAATACAATAGGGTAGGAGGGCTCTGCTCGTGAGAACTTACAATCTCCTTTATAGGGATTTTACTTGACACCGTCAAAATATAAATAAAATACAATAATTTGTCAAACTCAGCCATGCAGTTCTAAACTAGTTGTCTACTAGTAGAAGAACGATAAACAATTCACTACTGCTGTGGGGGAACAAAAATGGGGGCGAGTCACTAAAGTAAATGTTCACCGAGTTGAGTAAATGCAGATTCACATTACTAATCAACCTTGTATGTTCTAGCAGAAATCACAGTAATTTAGCAATACCCTTTAAAAAGGGAAATAACTTAATATAATTGAGGAGCTCATCACCGGTACAAATGAGCACAAGTGCAGCAGAAAAAAACGCAGGTTGCTCGTGGCAAACGCGATTTGAGCCAGGTTTAAAGGTGCCCATACACCTTGCGCTCATCGGATGAAACTTTTCGTCCGGTGATCGAACCGTCGTACAATTTTCGTACGACGGCCCCATCCCGCCCCGATTATCGCAAGGTTCAATCAGCGGTAGTTAGAAAAAAAACACCTGGACGAATTGCGGTAATCGACCGCAGGTATTTTCGTTTGCGCATGAGTAGTGTTAATCGTACAACGTTTGACGTGTGGAAACGCCAAACTTGCGAAAATCGACTGAAATTTTCGAACATGCAGGAAAGACAAAAGTCGTACAGTACTGGCGGTTGCACATTCCCCATACACCTTGCGATTGTTGTATGAAAAGTCGATCGCATACGATCGTAAGGTGTTTTGGGAACCTATAGAGAGATCTCTCCCTTCCATTGCATCTCTTGGGCAAGAAGTAAAGAGAAATCTCTCCTAGGTGACCAAAGGAAAAAAAAAAAAAAAAGTTTAAATAAAAACCAAAAAGGAAAGAGACTACATATACAGACTCATTCACACATGTGCAGTGACGTGCGTTTTTCCACATCAGATATACCACTTTTTTTTCCTATGTGCCTCGATCACATCAAAACTCTGTCAATCCAGTAATGGCACTTCCCAGACTCTGTAGAGATGCGAGTTGCAGTCAGCTGTGTTAAAAAGCAGCACAAATGCATTTTACACAAGTAAACTCCTAAACAGACACAGCAAATAAAAGGAATTTTAACAATGGTAAATTTGACCTGTCCAAGAAGTCAGGCTGATAAATGAATACGGACACATGTGAGGCACCATTCACATCTGAGCATTTTGTAGATGCCTGATAACTTAGCACTACAAAAACCTCAGCACAAGGAATCCCATTGTTTTCTATAGCTGCTGTTTACATCTGAGTGCTCTGTCACATGTTTCAAATGCCTGTACTGTGAGGGGGAACCCCACACGAGCTTCTTATGAAGGGGGGG